CGTTTGTTTGCTTTTGCAATTTTTGCTTGATGCATTAGCAGGTACTCGCGAAATGTGTGCTTCGGCACAATATTATACGCACTATGAACAGTGCAAGCAGAAAGGATGAGCTTGCAAAGGAACCCAAGATGGAAGCTTTGCGGTTCGGCTTACTTGATTGCGCAGATCTAGTTCTATCCAACTCGAAATTGTACTGTTTTGTTTGGTTGACTATAGTGTAGCAGGGCAAGCACTATAGAGGTACAATTTAGGTGAAGGTTGGATGTTGTTTGTCTGTATCTACATGCTACAGGGCCAGGGGAAACCAACCAGCATTTGGCTGGTTGGGCAAAGACAAAACAGGTTCTGTTTTTAGGACCTGAACCTAATTGTTGTTTTCCCAGGTTGGAAAAACAGAACCATAGGTTGTTTACCAACCTACCAGCTGCTGTTTTGTCTAGCCAGGTTGGTTCTATTGCTTGGAATTATTTGGGATCATTCTTGGTTGTTCCCAGGTTGATTCCCAAGGTCCTTGCTAGCTAGAACTATTTATTCCTTCTCTGTTTGTACCTGGATATAGTCAATTTGATTCAAGCCAATTCTTCCCTTCTTGGAATTTTGTTTCTACACGGTATGACAGCGGAATGCTACCCGAGTCAACGCTAGTACGCTAGCACTCCAATGCTAGGCAAACGCTGTCCGAGCCATAACTTCATAATGGCAGAACTTTTCGCGAGGCAACTTGGCGTTTATTAAAGCTCTTGGAGTGAGCTTCGATATAGGAAATTCTCAGCTTACTCGCCCGGTGCTTTGCAAGATCTCGCCGGTGGAGAGGACACGCCCGGTGTATGTCGCCCGACCAAGCACCTCTCCCGCCGGTGAGACGAGCAGCATCCCGTCGCCATCCTTTTGCAGCTTCTCGCTGTTCTCCTTCAGCTAGCCGGCCGAAAGCAGGTTCGCTCGCACGCCCCGGACGTAGAGCAGGTGGGGGATGAGCACCTGTGTTCCTGGCCTCCCCTTGCAAAGCGACAGTGCTGCAGCCTTATACGTCTTGCAGCGCCCCATTGATGCCGCGCACGTGCTTCATGTCGCTGCTTGGCTGCAGGTCTACAAAGACCTCCTTCGTCCCCATCAGGTGGTACGAGCAGCCGCCGTCGAGCAGGACCACCACCGGATTCGCCTGCACAGCTGCCGCCACCGCCCGGAAGTCCTCGCTTGCCTCCGGTGCCAACGAGACGGCCGGCTCCACTACGCCGACCAGCGAGCACTACTCCTGCTTGTCGTCTCGCCTTTTGCCGCCTGCGGAAGAGTCAGCGTCGTTTGCTGAGGTTGACTTGGTCGATTGCTTCTCTTTGCGCGGCTTACTCTTCCGGTGAGGGTAACACCCAGCTGATCTCCCTCGGCCTCCCTTGGCGTCGTCGTCGTCCGAGTCACTGCGGTCAGGGCACTTGAAGGAGAGGTGGTCGGGGTCGCTGCACAGCCAGCACTCCCGACGTCGACTCCCCCCTCCTCGACCGCAGTCCTTGGCGCACTTCTTCTTGTCAGTGTCCTGCAGGATGTATGAGGTCAAGGTGTCCTTGTTGAGCGATGCCAGAGTGCTCGACACAATCGAGAGTCGCTTGAAAAGGTTGTAGCTGTTCAGGAGTCCCTGCATGACATGCGTAACGTATGAAGTCGTCGAGTACTGCGCGATGGCCATCCTTATGGTGGCGATGATTCGTCGAGCTCGATTGCAATAGTCGGTCGCGGTCTAGTGGTCGCCCATACGCAGGTGCGTGAGCTGCTCCTCAAGTTGGGCGATGAACAAGTCGTCAGTGACTTGGTAAGTCGACTCGCTGAAATACCACTCCCGATGGCCGGCGTCGAGATACTCCCTGCACGAATTCAAGGTGATCTGCACGCCCGGCGAGCAGCACCGCGAGATGACCGTGAAGGTCACCAACTGCACGGCGCGAAACTCCGCACGCAATTCGGGTGTCCACCGACATCGCCACGGTACCGTGAGCAAAGCCGATCAGCCCGGCCATCTCCAGATGGGGCTCGATGGCTTCCTTCCATGTGAGAATGTTTGGTCGACCGACCAGCAGGGGAGTGAACAAGATATTGTGGGGCGTAAACTTGAAGTGGCCGTAGCTCGGTGCAATCCCACCCGCCATCACCTGAGTCGCTGGTATCGGCGACAATCCACTTTGACGCCCTACGACGTCGCCCTGCAAGGAGCCTGCAGCCGCCGACGACCGCACCCCTCGTGCCTGAACGCCGCCAACCTCATCGGCATGTATCACACCTCGCTGCCTCGATGTGCCTCCCGCACTGCTGCCGACTTGGCCACTACTGGCATTGACGCCCACGTCGATGCCGCCTTCGTTGTTCACCGGTCAAGGAGAGGCTGGTCGAGAAGGGGAGTGCTCCTTCGCCCACATAGAGCGGAGTCTCGACGACCGCCCAAGGTATCACCCCGTACTCCTGGGCCTCATGGGGTCTCGTCACATCCTCTAGCTGTGCCTCTAGGGTGTCCATCACCTCTGTGTCACATACGCACACGCTAGTGACTGCACGGCTGCCGGCCTACGAGCAACTTAGGTAAGTGACCACTACGTGGACTTGACTGAAAGGTAAGTCATGTGCCGTCTACGCTCACCGCACCATGCGGAGATAACTTCAGCAATGGGATTTAGACCATGGGCTAGGCATGGGTGCTCGTGTGATCTTTGCGTTCATTCACTTACTCGTTTACTTCTGCTTGCACGACTTGCTGGTTCACGGGGAAAGTTGGCAAGCGTTTCAATCGCAAAAGTTCAGAACAATGGTAGCAACAACATTGGCGTGCAAGAATACATCAGACCTAGCAAAGCTGCTGGTCGACTTTCAGCACAGCACGGTCGACCGCGTGCCAGCAAGACTTGGTCGACCGCGCTCCAGCAGAGCAAAGTCGCGGCTTGCCAACGTTGCAAGTCCACGGTGTACCAACGCTGCAGCAAGTCGGCTACACAGCGTTGCACCCGCAGGACAACGATGCACTTTCTTCGCAAGTGCGCGCAGCTGGTTGGTGCACTACTCCTCGTCACGTGCATGTTATGAAGAAGAAATGATTGCACTATGAAAGTTGGAGTACAAGTAGGAAAGCCTAACTTTGTGTACCCCCTAAAGACTATCCCACTATAGCCTACACAATAATAACACATATAGTGTTTCACACACCCCCATAGGCAAAGTGGGGGAGAACAAGGGGTCACAAGACTAGTCAAGAAAGGCAAGCAAGCTGAGGGTGGATCACAACGTCACCATACACTCCGAGCACAAGCAAAGGGCCACAAGGCCAGTTCACATGCGGAAGTATATGTAAGTAGTACAGACAGCAAGGGTGATCTCAACATAGCAGAGCAAACAGGCAGGAGTATATATAGAGATCACAGTACAGGCAAAGCCTACAACAAGTGAGACAAAGTGGGCACTAGCCCCAATAAAGTACAGAAGCGCTGATGATCACCAGGCTAAAGTGCCTTGGTGAAAATATCAGCAGTGTTGGCCTGAGAGGCCACGTAGCGCAGACGAAGCTGACCACGCTGCTGAAGCTCACGAGCAAGGAAGTAACGGAGAGCAATGTGCTTTATTCTGTGCTCCAGTCTGTGCTCCTCACACAAGGCAATGGCAGCCTTGTTGTCGACGTACAGCACTGGAGGAGAACTAGGCCGCTCTCCCAGGTCAGTCAGCAGGTAGGTGAGCCAGCGTAACTCCTGTGCAGCCATGGCTGTCGCGCAGATCTCAGCCTTACAACTGGAGCTGAGAACCGAAGACGGAAGAGTAGAGCGCCACGAAACTGAACCAGAGCCAAGGCTGATGGTGTAACCCTGTGACGACCGCTGAGTAGCCTGGTCGTCAACCCAAGAAGCGTCTGAGTGCCCAGTGAGAACAACTGAGCTCCCTCCTCCAAGCACGAGCCTCATGCCTGATGTACTGCACAAGTAGCGCAATACCCTCTTTGCAGCATCCCAGTGCACCTTTCGATGACGACCAGGAGCCACGTAACGTGCCAGAAGGCCAAGAGGGTATGCTAGGTCAGGACGAGTGTAAGTCATCAGGTACATGAGGCAACCAAATAGCTCTGGGTAAGGACCACTCGACTCCACGGACTCATCCGAAGGCAGAGCTGAGAGCGAGTGACCTATAGCCAGAGGAGTGGCCTATGCTGAGGACCAGGTGAAGCCGAAGCGCTGAAGGACCCTTGGTGCGCAAGGGGAAGACCATGGTGTAGCGCGAGTAGTCGTCAACAACTATCAGGAAGTACATTTCCTGACCCTGACCACGGACGCGGGCGGGGCCCCACACGTCCATGTGGAGCGTCTGCAAGGGAGCAGTCGTCAGGGCAAACGAGGAGTGAGGAGCAGCGCGCTGCCGCCCCTCGACATAGGGAAGGCAAGGAGGAGCAGGCGAGGCTGGGAGGGGAGGGAGAACCCTGGGAAGACCAGAGACAAGGTACCGTTTGTGCATTGCCGGAAGGCGCTGCACGGATGGGTGACCAAGGCGATGGTGCCAGAGGACTGTCTCGTGCGCCAGAGAGCGGCACGAGCAGGGGGCCGACAGCTGACCTGACGCAGACGTAGCTACCTGAGGGGACTCAGTAGTCAGTGTGTACAGGTCTGACCCCGGTTGCCGTGTGAAGGTCGCCAGGTGACGGCCCGTCCGAGCACACGTGCAGTGTGTCACGCGCTCGTAGGCAGGGGTGAACTGGTGGACACCCTTGTCCTGGAGCGCACTACCTGCCACTAAATTCGTAGAGAACGAGGGGAGGTAGAGACCGGACAGTGTGCCCGACAGGATGGCCGGACAGGGGAGGACAGTGGAGGAGGTCGCAAGGACTGGACCCTCAGAGGGGTCAGCGAGAGGGACTGCAACGGGCCGAGCTAGCTGCTCAAGAGCCGTGCGGTCACGAAAGAAACAGCGGGAGGCACCTGAGTCTAGTGTAAAGGTGTGCAGTGCCTCAGTCGACTCAGTAACAGGGGGCGCAGACGCACCAGCACCTAGAGCAGCAGCCTCTCCAGCACCTGGGGTAGCAGACACTCTAGCACCTAGAGCGGTAGCCTCACCGGGTCGAATCCCCGGGTCGGGCGGAACACGCAGGTACTGGGCACCCTCTCCACTAATAGACATCACATACATGGCAGAGAGAATAGCATCAAAGTCTAGAGCAAAGATATCAATGTTTTGCTTCATCAGATCAGCTCAGCGGGGCAGCTCAGTGGCGTCAGGGAACTCAGTACGCCAAGTGACGTCGAGGCGTGAGAAGCAGCGCTGCGTGGGGTGCGCCCTCCCACACGTCTGACCAGTGCAGTCACCAGTGCGGATGACGTACGTGCAGCTAAGGCCACCACCCCACTCGTGCTAAGCGTACCACTCACGGATCTCCTGGGGCGACGGAGAGTGCTGTGGGCTCTGGCCACTGCTAGTGCCTCCACGACCACCACTGCCGCCACCACCTCCTCGACCACCTCTTCCCCTGCCGCCGCCGCGTCCACCGCCGCCCCCACCACCGCCCCCGCCTCTGCCACCGCCCCCACCGTTGCCGCCACCACCCCCACCGCTGCCACTAGCCCCACCAGTCCCACCACCACCCCCACCGCCGCCACCACCCCCACCACCGCCTCCCCCGCCGTCACCTCCGCCTCCCTTGCCCTTTTTGCCATTGCCGCTACGGCGCCCGCTCAAGGCAGACGCAGCCCCGACCTTCTCAGAACCAAGGAGGTCGACAGCAGAAGCAGAGGCTACAGAGGGAAGAAGGGGGGAAGGGGAACACCCTGCAAAGAAAGGGGTGCGGGGGTCGCCACGAGAGGCACCTACAGCGACTATGCTAGCCTCAGCTGCAAGCAGTTCCTTCTCGAGGAGGGCAATGGTGAGCTCAGTGGGGCAGCGAGCTAGGAAGTGATCCGTGACAGCACGCAGAGTGTCAGGGTGGCGGGTGACTAGGTGGTAGAGAGTGAGCCAGAGCAGGGGAGGGTTCTTGGCAAGAAACTCATCGGGCATGGCGGCACGGAAGCGGGCCTCACTACTACGGAGGTATGTGATGAGGTCTGCGACTGTGTGGAACGAGGCCAGGTCGGGAAAGAGGTAGGGGAGTGAGAGGCGGCCTAGCGTGGCAGAGGCAAGTGAGGAGTAGCGGGCAACGACAGCGGTGTTTAGTGCCTGTGCAGTCTTGTGCTGGCCAAAGTGCTCGCGCTAGTCTATTGGCAGGGAGTTGCGAATAGCGAAGCGAGCGTGGGCGTCACGAGTCTGCCACTGTGAGCGGGTAGTGCTGTCAGCGGTAGCAGCAGGAGCAGTAGCATGGCCTAGGGCGTGATCGTACAGTGAGATGTCCTCCTTGGCAGTGAGCTGTAGGAAGAGGTGTAGGTCATCTAGCCAGGTATCGAACTTCATTGGGTGGCCCTCAGCATCGAAGGCTAGCACAGGAGGGCTAGCCATAGCAGTAGTAGAGTAGCAGTAGTTGCACCCTAAAAACAGTAGGCAGGGCGACTCGGGTAGGGCGGCTCGGTCCAGTACGGGCGGCGCGGCTCGGTTCAGGTAGGGCGGTTCGGCTCGGGTAGGGCGGCTCGGCTGCGTTCGGGCGGCGCGGCTGGGTTTGGGCTGGGCGGCTCGTGGGTGTCGCGGCGGGGTGCTAAGGAGCAGCGCGCGGGTCGAGAGGGGGCCGACGGGGCCGCTAAGGGGCAAACGGGGCCGATGGGGCCTCTAAAGGGGGTCGCGCGTGGGGTCGACGGGGCCAGCGGGGCCGCTAAGGGGCGGCTCGTGGGGTTGACGGGGCCGGCTAGGGCCTCTAAGGGGGGGGACGCGCGGGGTCGACGGGGCCAGCGGGGCCGCTAAGGGGCGGCACGTGGGGTCGACGGGGCCGACGGGGCCTCTAAGGGGTGGGCGTGCGGGGCAAACGCGGCCGACGGGGCCTCTAAGAGGGGCCAGCGGGGCCTCTAAGGGGCGGCGCGCGGGGTCGACGGGGCCTGTAAGGGGCGGCGCGCGGGTCGCTAAGAGAGGGGCGGGTCGCGGGGTCTTAGGGGGCCGTGAAAACGAGGCGCACGAGGGCGCCTGGGGGGAGGCGCTCAAGGGCGCTCCGACAGTAGGGCACACAAGGGCGCTAGTAGGTAGTAGTAGTGGTGGGCCCTAGGAATCGGTCCTAGCGGAGGACCTGCTCTGATTCCATGTTATGAAGAAGAAGTGATTGCACTATGAAAGTTGGAGTACAAGTAGGAAACCCTAACTTTGTGTACCCCCTAAAGACTAACCCACTATAGCCTACACAATAATAACACATATAGTGTTTGACAGCGCACAGCGCAGACGCCCAGGTCAACTCCACGCCAGCAACTGCGCCCACCAGCCACATCGACCTCGGGATACCACCCCAGAGGTCGGCCTCGCAGAAGTCCCCCTAGCGTGCGCCCGTCGTCCGGGTATCTTGGTTGACTGGACAACCACGCCCGGTCGACCAGCGCCTTCTTCACGTTCCCGTCAACCACCCAGGTCGACGACCACTTCCTAACGACCTTACCAGGCCGACCTCTCCCCTGGTCTACCAGCCCTAGGTCGACGACACAACTGGTTGACCAGCCCCACGTCGACCAGTTCGGGACTAGGCCGACGACTCCGCCAAATTGTCGGCCACCCAAGGTCGGCGCCCTCCACCCGGCGCCATGCTGCTCGGCGTCCAGCTGCTCGGCGTCCTGCTCCTCAATGCCCTCTAGCTCGACGTCCCCAGTCTTTCCTGTCAAAGGTCGATGTCGGCCCTTCCTTCGTCGACCACTCCATTCGGTCGACCTCCTGGTCAACCTCCTAGGCGCCCAGAAGTTGGCGCCCGTCGCAGTGGCCCTTGTGCATGTCGACCTTCTTGTCGACCAGCTCGCCCACTTCTACAAGTCGGCTGCACTCCCCCGTACACCCGACCACAAGGTCAGCTCGGCCCAAGCGAGGACGAGGCCACACCCAACTCTTGTTGACAAGGCGCGCATAGTCAGCGCGCGTGGGTAGCACGCGTACGGTCAGGGCACAAGCTGCACGGGTACGTAGCGCAGGTCGCGCGCGGCCAGCAGGGCAGTACGGGCAGCAGTGCAGCACGCGGCGCAGCAGGGCAGCGCGTGGCAGAGCAGTGCAGGGCAAGGCAGCGCGATAGCGCTGAGCTAGGTAGGGCAGCAGCGCGCGACGAGCAAGGCAACGCGCGATGGCAGCAACTCCTGGGGCAGTACATACGGTTGGTGCGCCCTAACGGAGCGGTCCTACGAAGGGACCTACTCTGAATATCATGTCAGAAATAGAACGTTAGAATGATTGACGAGTAGGGAAGAGTGAGTACAAGTATTAGGAATGACATAAGGTGTTGTACTCCTTAGAGTATGCCCCAATAATGTCTAGAGATAATACATGCAATTTGACAAGTTACACGCAGCGACTCGATAACAAGAAGAAGGGCAGTAGTCTGAGTCACTGTAGAACTGCATGTAAAACAGTTAGAATAAGGTAATGTACCCCTTAGATTACCTGGCTTGCAAGGTCGATCTATTGTATGTAATTCTATCTTTGATCAATCTTGTCATCTACATTCACTATGCACAAGGTTCCTACCAGAAGACTTCCGCCTCCAATTCTCCAAGGCAGACCTATCTTATCCGAGGTCCCCTTCACTCTAACTCCAAGGAGTAACAAGAGAGAGTTGTGCCAAGTAGGAGGGGTTGCACTATGAAATAAGGAGTACAAATACGCAACCAACAATAACTACTAGGGGTGCACCACCAATCATAATACATAATATCTACACTACAGGCAGGGTCATCCCTAGGTTTTGAGCCTACCTGATACATCAGATTGCGTGATCTTTTATGTTTGATGAATTAGAAATTTCTTAAGAATGTTTCTGCTGAATCAGAAATATTGCAATTCAATTTGTGATTGATTTTTTAAGAGCTCTTCTCATTTTACGTGTACTTTACCTTACAACAAATTTGCGAAAAGTAAGCGCCATTGGGGACTCGAACTATTGGCGCCATTGGGATTCTCACCATAATGATTAAATCTATTGACAACAAATGATGATATAAAGCCGTTTCCATTCACACACGAATCACCCTTCTACTTATAAACTCAATATCAGATAAAATCGAAAGGGAATTTATGCGAACAGTAACTTATATGGGGCTCTATAATGCGTTTGGTAGCCATTACATCGATTTTTCACTCGTTTTATTATTAATGTCACGCATTCGGCAGTTATTACACTGGGAAACGACAACATGAATGGTAACTAGAAAAAACCGTCGCCCGAAATTACATTTTTTTGAAAATTTAGCGCTCGCGCGAAATTATTTTGAGGAATCCTGACGCATCGCGTTCTGCCCACCAAGCACATCTTCTGAACCAAGATAATTAGCACGTATGTACAATCTACTTGTACCAATTTAAAACGATCGACACTTTTCAAAGCGTAGCTTCTGAACTTCATGTTTGTTTATTTCTGTTCTGTCTTTGAAGAAAAAATATAAAACCCTTTCAAATGGCATGCGATCTTGAAAGAAACAAGCCGAAAAACCTTGCAGCAAGGCTAAAGCAGGTGGAAAAGTAATAAAAATATATTTCTGATATTGCGCGCCTAAAATATAATAAACTTAACCCCTATGAAAAACAAGCCCTAAACGCCTTGGAGTTTATAATTTTTGGCCTGGTTGTGCGGTATAATTAGAAACAAACAATGTTCCGGTCAAGCGTTGAAATAATCATCGAAAAAAATATAAAGCTGTTTTCGGTACAACTACATGTGTGTTCATTTATCGGGTTTCATGTAGGTTGTCTGAACTTGGTGCGTCATCATTCGTTGGTTTAGTGTGGCTCGAGCGGGAAAACCCATAATTGGTGTTATTTTGGTTGAGGGTTTGTTCTAGTTATCATTCAGTGATCACTTGGCGGTGTATGTCAGAACTATATTGTAGGCTGTAGTGAGGCACTCCATATGGGGTACGGTACTATTAGGTTTTACATATACAAACCTTGTACTGTCCTCTTTCTAGTCATTCTCGTTTCATACTTTGTGACATGGTATCAGAGCAGGTTCCCTAGTGGGAACGTTTTTTTAGGGCCCACCGTGTTAGTTACCTTTTTTTAATTGCCTTGCCTGAAGCGCATGTCGCGCCTGCCTCGCCTGCGCCGACGCGCGCTCTACTCTGCTACCGCCATTCGCGGCCCTGCCCTTAAGGCCCGTCGCGCCCTTCCCCTAACGGCCCGTCAGGCCCGATTCTGCCGCCTACGCGGCCCGCCGTAGACGCCGTCGGCACCCTTAGCGGCCCGCCCTTATTGTCGCCGCCCTTAGCGGCCCGCCCGCATCGTCGTCGTGGCCCTGCCCTACCCGCCTCCAACGCCCTGCTTTCGCAGCTTGCACGGCCCTACCCTGCCGCGGCCCTGCTTTGCCGTGGTTCTGCTGTGTCGCGGCCTCGGTGCCACCCTACCCTGCAACAGCCGAGATGCGGCCCTGTCCTACAGCCGCCCAGTCGCGGCGCGGCTCCACCGTCTCGTCGCGGCCCCTACCCTACCGCCTCGTCGCCGCCTTGCCCCTGCAGCCGCGTCGCGGCCCTGCCCTACCGCCTCGTCGCGGCCCTACTTGTCGCGGCCCGTGTTGGTGTAAGGGCCTAATAAACTCAAGCTATTATGACTTTATCAAACT